CTAAAGATAATTTTATAAACATGTGATTCATGCCAAGCGAAGTATCGACGGAGCTGTGATGTGACAGTACACAACAACAATTAGCTCATTATTTCCTGCACGTATGCTCGACATGTTTTGACAGTTCTACTTCAGAACTACAATCATTGAACAAGATTCATAATATTAATAACCCTGATGCTACTTCCAAATTGTGTGTACGATCACGATCATAAGTATAACAATTTGGTAATTAGGTTAAGATACATTTATTCTTTCATTGCATAGCGAGTGCCCGATACCCTTAATTTACATAATTAAAATTAAATCATTTAAGCCCCGCCGTCTTTATGACGCGTAAAAGAGTTTTATTCAAAATGAGTAAACAGTAAAATTAGCATTTTGATGTTGATGGATAATGTAAACGATATACTAAACATATTCAACTTAATATGTACGCATATGTATACAATGAAGCCTTGTAAGAGTTTAGTATAAAGACGCTTTTAGTGAAACAGTTCAGTTGGAGCGGAGAACTGAACAGTTTCACTAAATTAAACGAATTCGGTTTTTTATTTGACCTTCGCCTTTCTTTATGTGAAGGTCGCTTTACCGCTGATTTGTTGTTAACACTTAACTAGTTGTTTTAAAAAGGCTTGTTTGCCCAGAGCCCTGCGTAAACCGACCCTTGGGGTGACCGCTTTTGGGATCTAGGTCAAGGGATGCTCCTGCTAAAATTTGACACACTCAAAACAGGAACTCAAGCTTAACCATTAGATTACATATTTAATTAGCGTAACGCTGCAAATAGGAAAGTAAAACGTTGAGGCAATAAATTATGCAACGATGGATACAGTCGGAAGGGCCCGTTTCGTTTACTGAATGAAAAATTGGGTGACCAATATTTGGATAATATAAAATATTCATCAGTTTTGTAGAGACGCGGAATTATTATTAAATTGACTAATGACGACATTGAAAGTAGCTCTATGATTCATCCTTTGTTGAGTGATAGAGTACTAATTAGTCATTAATTAGCCAAATCTTTTAATACACTTTTTGTTAATAAAGAATATCTCAATTATGAAAAACAAAAGAAAGAGTACTAAATGTTACCAAAAATATGAAGTTCTTTGGTTGCTAATATTTTAAAACATCATTAATCTTTATAAAGCTTTTCAAATCTTCAAAATCCATATATTTTCATTAAAAAGAGATTTATGTTGGAACTGTAGATTTCTGTAAGAACAATGAGAGTTATCCGCACTGTTGATTGTTTAATATAGAACGGTATCTAGCTTTAATAGTTTGATTTTAAACAGTTCACTAAGGCTGCGTTTCCACAGAAGCGGAGCTGCGTGGATCTGAGCAGAGTCCTTACAGGAATTGATCAATGTTATCGCTCAACATACACGTTTCATCTCAGCTCCGCTTGAGTGGAAATAATGGCGGAGTTGAGAAGAATAACATTTAAATGTATGTAGAGTGGAGCGCTGTCATGCTGTGCGAGGCGTAGCGGGGACGGGTTGCGCGGAGTGGAGCTTTAGCGACCACATTGCTTTGTTCAATTGATCTGACTGCAAATAAAATGTATTCACAGCTCCGCTCAGCTCATCTTTAGTCTGCCCCACTCCGCATCGCCCCGCTCGTGTCAGCTACAGACCGCTACACCGCTTAGCTCTGCACAGCTCCTCTTCGCGCAGCTTCAATGAAAACACTTTCCTATTTACACGGCTCTGCTCTGCTCAACTTCGTGCAACTCCGCTTCTGAGGAAACCAACCCTAAATCCTTCTTAAATTGTTAATACAAACATTGATTTGTATATTTAATTTGTAGATCACTGTAAATAAATAAATAAATTGTATATATTTGAGTTTGATATTGAAATTATCATTGCTAATTTTAACCATACCTTCTTTCATCCTGCCTAATAACTTGGTAGAGGCATACTCCAAATCAGAAATAAGAAACTATGGTGAACTTTGTCTTTCGATAGGTGCCACCGTCTGTCCGATCGTCCTACTTTACGACGATTTATTATGCTGCCTCATTTGACGGCTTTCGGGGCCCACTAACCTTGTGACCTTTACAATATATCTGTCTCTTTCAGAAATTTCACGCTCCATTTCAGAAAACGTACCCCAATATTATACATCAGAAGATTTCGAACCAGAATGCTTTCTAAATAGTTATTCAAAATCATGACCGCGACAGTAAAATTTTACTGATACTTCGTTTTTAATATATGAGATAAGATAGGTATACAATACTGGATTACAAGCAAAGCAACGTAAAGCACGTAGCTACTTAGTTAGTTATACAGCTACACTAAAGGCCTATCCATGGATAAAATAATTTACAAAGTTGTTATCGCAACGGTTACTACATTTTCCGAACAACTATTTGCCAATCTTGGCATCGTCGAGGCGTTGCTTTATTCTCTTGTCACATTAAATAGCGTTGACTTTTATAAAATACAATATAAAGATTTATTTTATTATTCTATTTATAAAGCACTAGTTCGATATATATCAATAAATAGAATGAACCGAAAGTAATGGCAAAAGTTTTCCCAATACACATCTTAATTTTCCACTTCATTAATAATATGTGGCTGTTCAAAAAGTTTACATTATGACCAAAGATTTTCATAATTCAAATTGGAATGAATGAACTCATAGGAAACTGTCAAATTATTTTAGATGTCTATATGCTTCCTTCGCCGAGTTCATCCCACTTTTTATGATTTATGATACCATCTTTATGTGACTTCAGAGGTAGTGACCTTCCCTTCTTCAGTTACACTCTTCACTAGACAGACAGTGGACGACATGAATCGAAATCTCCTGATCAATACGTAATTATGGATTACAATTTAGCAATCTACATTGTTGATAAATTTAGGGTTTTTTAATAGGAACCGGGTATCTTTGAATTAAAAAAGAAACTCTTTGATAGGTTACAGTAACATTTAATTAATTTCATTGTAAATTTTTTTTGGCAATTTTTGTGGAATACCTTGTTGTTTTAATGACTACCTCGGCTTCGTATGCTTGCGTGAATAAGAAATTATTATTACTACTTATTATTATTGCTGTCACATGTTAAGTTAATCTTTGGGTCTTTGACAGTTCATAATTGTTCCCATACACCACTTATTTTGCATTCCCTAAAAAAGGGGCGTTAAAACGTCTGATCTTAGAGGACGTGTCTTGTCCTCGAAAGCAGAGGTTTGGAAGCCGTTATATTTCTCTTTTAATAAACGAACAAGCTGAGCGTATCTCCCAGAGTTTCTGCTACCGATTTAATTTTCCGGGAGTTTCGCGCATTTCAACGATGGGTAAGTGTTGGTTAATCCATTCAGTAACCACTTTTTTTTAGTATACGTGTGACGAATAGTTTTCTCTGCCCTAGGACTTTTATGTTGACCACAAGTTCCTCATAACGTACGAAACGTTTGACGAATTAAACTGCCGTTTTGATAATATTTTTAATAGTTTTAACCCGATTCTCTACTGGATAGAGATGCATCTTGATAAATGCTAAACTTTTAATAACTTAACTTTCAAATAAATATTGTCAATAGACAAACATCATCAGTAGTCAAAAATACCCTGTCCCTATTGAAAATCCCTGTACAACAGCCAATCGTATTATATATTCCGATTCTTATGATATGGAAAGCCAAAGGACTTTCTTTTGATTCTCGAACTCAACTGTACGTGTAAACAAATAATTTTCACAAAAAATCATGGACTTTTCCACTTTGCCAAGGCTTACAGTGTCAATTCCTTTTGATCCTAATGTTGATTTATTTATTATGAGAAAACGAAAAATGTCTTGTGAAATAACAAATTTACCTACTTGGCGACTAAAGGGCAAGTGTTTATTTATATTATAGTATTGTTTACAGTCCAACGACCAATTTTAACATAAAGTTTGAATATAGGATTCTGTGATGCTACATCATTAGAACTATTCGTGTTTTACTAAATTTCATTGCAGTATTTATTATTATATTATTTCATAGCAGAAAGAGAGAGAGAGAGACTGCTGTTCAATTTAGTTAGCCAAATACGAATAACAATCTGAATGTCAGCGTGAGATTTTTTTTTATATTTGTAATTCATGCAGTACTTTTAAATAACATTTGAAACTAATAAATAAAATATCATAATTTAAATATCACTAAGTTGCCCATTTCATTTAGCTTTGTTTGTATTTTGCATCGTTAATGGAAATTAGTTTAAACTTGTCTGCTTTTACATTGTTATGAATTATAATTGGCAGTAGTTGATTCAATTCATAGGCGTCCTTAACTGTATTTCCTTATAGCACATTTTGATTTGCTGTTTCGTTGTTAATTGAGGTTTTACTGTGTTTGCTTTCATCCTATATTTACTGGCATGTTATAAGCTACGAGCATTAGCTGAATTTCCACATGCTGAGGTTTTCTTAAATTATATTAACATCGGGCTTGGTAATGAGTTATTTGAGGGCTCGATATTTGGTCCGTAGGGTTTACACCTCTGGACTAACCTTTAAATAGACGCCATGTGTTCATGCCTCGTTAGGAAATTATTACAGGTGTTCATAATGTAATATGTGCTTTAGCTATGAAATCCATTCTTTTAGTAAATGAAGGGCAAAGTCTGAGCTATTAATAAAATTCGCTCGATGGTGTTTGCTTAAACCTAAATTAGTATATGTTCATACAAAGAATTCACACTCAGTCTTCAAGCTCTTTTTGAAGATAAATTCAGTATTAGGTATTACTAGCAAACCAGTGAACCAAATGTTCACCAAAAAAAATGTATTTAATTAATTGAGAACTTCGGAGATTTTGTGTGGTTTCGTTTGAAATAGAAATCATTTCTCGAAAACCGGAAGTGCTACGTTACTCACATCCGGTTTGTTGTCTTATCAGACTATTCTTAACTTATAACTTAAACATTCTCTATATCTATCTCTTACGGTTTGGCCGCTGAAACAGCACCACGGACGGACGGACGGACGGACGGACTTGTCTAATAGATAAGAGATTTTATCATAATAAGATGTTAAGTATCACAATAATTTATACAAAGCTGGAAAGTTTTTGCAGATCCCAGAAGTAGCACAAGTATTTTTTTTAATTCTGTGAGTGAAACTGAAATAGACTGTAATAATAAGGTGATACAAGCATTTTTAATTTGAAATTTATTTATCGACTACCGCCAAGCGCAGATCGAAAGGCGACAAAACGCTGCGAGTGCTTTGTTCAAACGGGCAAGTGAACGTGACCATCAAGCAGCATTTGAATTGGCGAGTACACTTGCTTAATCAACTTTTATTTCTTATTGTTCCTTTGAATATATTTTGCAATGCCTTTTAAATGTGCGGGTTGTTATCAAATAATCTCAAACAGAGAGTACCTTACATGTTCTTAATGCACAAACAAATATGACCTAATATGTGAAAATGTTTCAATTCAGCGATTTCTCAATACATTGACTGCAGAACACAAAAAAACATGGAAATGTCAGGCTTGTTATTACAAAATACCTAAATCTGATCATGTGAATACCCCTGTCCGCTCTTCAAATGCTGCTGATATCGCAGTATTTGGATTTTTTTTCCAACAAATAACGACAACATCACAAATAGAAAGAAAAACATTCACTCTGTGAATGATTCAACATCTACCCTAAGTCTCTTGAGTGATAATGTCGACGCAAATGTCACAATTACTGATGAAAGGAAGAGCGCAGTAAATAAAGAACTAATGCAGCAATTGAGCGATATAATAATTTTACGACTCAAAGAAAACAACAAATCGATTGTAGTAGAACTCCAAAATATTATCGCAGATGAAATAAATAAGGCATTGGAAATTTTTAAAAAGGATATAATAGTAGAAATAGATATAATCTCAGAACAAAGTAATCAAAGGAAATTGAACATATTAAGAATTGACATTGAAATAGAAAATTTAAAAGAAGAAAATGTTAAGCTAAGTAATGAAATTAAAAATATTGAAAGAAAAATTACTACTAACACAACAGAAAATAATGGAAAGAAGTTAGTTATATACGGCCTGGGAGAGTATGGTCATGAAACAGAACAGGACTTGTATGGCAGGCTGATACATATGTTTTACGAAATATTAAATATAGATATTCGAGATGCAATTGAAGAAGTATATAAGATTGGAAAAAACTTTAATACAAAACGACCACTATTTCTAAAACTCGTCTGTAAGAAATTGGTTAAGCACATAATAGATAACAACATTTATATTCGAGGGACTCAAATATATATTTCAGAATTCTTAGACGAAAATTCCAGAAGAGAAAGAAGAAAACTAAGACATGAAATGATTGCCGCTAGAAAACAAGGATTGCATGCAGTAATTAGAAGTAATGAATTATATATTGAAAGCAAGAAGATAAAAATCCAGCAGAATTTAATTCCAAAACGATAACGATAAACAAATATTTACAGTGAAGAGAGTACCGGTACCGACAGTTAACGAAAAAGATTAAAAACATTATAAAATACACAAACAACATCATTAGCCATCTAAGGCACGATCACCATCATGGAATTTGAAAAATTCGCTACTACCAAACTTAAAAGTCATCTCCCAAAACATACAGAGTATCGGAAATAAGTTGGATTTACTGGAACAGCTACTGGATAATACAAACAGATATCCTTTTGCTGTCAGAAACATGGAAATCGAAAATTTTATGGACACGATAATTTTGACAGGTTTTAAAATACCATCCTTTTTCTGTCGTAAATACCACGAAGGTGGGGGTTGTGTATTATAATTAGGGATACTATAGAATATATAGAGAGGAAAGACATTGTAGACTTATCAAGAGAATATGTAATAGAATTTAGTGCTATTGAAATGCCAGCGTTGAACTGTATTGTTATTAGTTTATACAGAGCAAATCGACATATAGATATATTTATGATGAATCTATTATTGAAAAAGCTTAGTATTAAAGATAAAAATAAACATTTATTTCTTGCTGGAGATTTCAAATTAAACAAACTAAAAATCTATTAAATTTAATGCATTCTTTCAACTTACAGTCATTAGTTAATGAACCTACTCGAGTCTCTAAATCAACAGCCACTATATATATATAGATCTAGCATTTACAAATGATATAAATGAGATAGAACATTTATTGTCAATAACTATGACATTAAAACACAATCGCGATTATAATAATATTAATAGTAACACTTGGTATAAAGAAAAAAGACTATTTACAACTTCAAACATTCAAGCTTTCAAAACACAAATATCTAAAGTAAATGAGCAGGATGTATTTGATGATGACAAAACAATCAATGATTATTGAAACAAATGATATTTGAATAAATTGATACCTATCAATAAAATCAAAATTAAACAGAAGTGTCGTAAGTCATGGTTAACAACTGGTTTAAGAAAATCGTGCAAACATAAAAGAATGTTAAAAAATATTCTAAATGAAACAAACAGTAAATAGTTTAATACCTTTAATCACATATTGAAAAGAAGCATCAAAATTTCAAAAAAAAAAAACGAGTATACAAGGCAAATAAATAGATCAGAAAATAAGTATAAACCATGTGGAATAAATTGATACCTATCAATAAAATCAAAATTAAACAGAAGTGTCGTAAGTCATGGTTAACAACTGGTTTAAGAAAATCGTGCAAACATAAAAGAATATTAAAAAATATTCTAAATGAAACAAACAGTAAATACTTTAAAACCTTTAATCACATATTGAAAAGAAGCATCAAAATTTAAAAAAAAAAACGAGAATACAAGGCAAATAAATAAATCGGAAAATAAGTATAAACCATGTGGAAAATAATCAATGAAAGAACTGGTAGAATAAGGAAAAACGAATATAAACGAATAAGGAAAAACGAGTATAACATAATAATGATATAGTTGAGTGTCCATTGACGGTTTCAAGTATATTTAATGAACATTTTGCAACAATAGCCAAAAATAATTGCAGCATATCAGGACGCTTAGTTATAAATCAACCGATCTGTTTAATGTATCTGCGTCCCGTGAACCTAAAGGAAGTCACTTATATAATAAAATCAATTAAAAATAAGCATAGCTGCGGATTAGATGACATTCCACCAATTTTAGTAAAACAATGTGCTGACGAATTAGCCAAACATTTAACTTATCTTATCAATCAAAGTTTCAACGAAGGTATTTTTCCAAATCTACAAAAAACCGCAATTATTGTACCTACTCATAAAAAAGGAGATGTAACTATGCCTAGTAATTACAGGCTAATAGCTTTACTACCGCCGTTTTCTAAAATATTCGAAAAAGCCATGTGCAACCGATTATACTCTTTTCTAGAAAAATATCAGTTCTTGGATGATAGTCAAAATGGTTGCCGTAAAGCAAAATCAACCACATAGCGGTATATAAATATATTCAAACTTCTCTTCAACATATAAATGATAAAAAGTGTGCTCTTGGCTTGCTACTTGATATGACGAAAATGTAAGTTACAATATTCTGTTGGCTAAAGTATACGGTTCAGGAATTCGAGGACCGGCATACAATTGCTTTCAATCGTACCTATCGGACAGAAAACAAATAGTACAAATTAAACATCACGTAAAGGAAAGCAAAGAAATCTATACAATACGATTTGATGAAGTCAATCTCACCTGTTCTATTCGCCAAGGCAGTGTATTGGGTTGTGTATTGTTTTTAATTTATATCAACGATCTCCCAAAAATATTGGACGAAAAGTTGCTTTACCAGTTTTATTCGCAAATGATATTTCAATACTCCTTAAATGTGACAATGAGAGTAGTTCGGCACATCAAATATTTAACACTATAAATTGTGTGACAGAATGGCTAAACGATTATAATCTTGAACGAAATTTTAACTAAACCAAAGTTATGCAATTAAGATCTTATAAGAAAACAGCTCTTGGTATAAGAATAAAATTTCAAAATAATCACCTTGAAATCGTTAATGATTTTAGTCTTCTTGGAGTAAACATTGATACAAACATAAATTGGAAGTAGCATGTTGCACTATGAAAGCAAAATTATCGAAGTTTACTTATGCGCTGTTTCAAATAAAATGTAACACCAACTAGTTTTGGATTGGAGTTTTTAACTCCAATTACTACTTATTATGCATATGCATACTCCTCCATGTTATGGGGAAATAGTGTTGATACTGAAGAATTGTTTATTTTACAAAAAAGATACAGTAGAATTCTCGCACATATAGAAAACACAGAGAGCTATAAACCCTATTTTATAAAATATGAAATATTAACGTATTAAAGGTTCAATACACATATATGATATATCTACTTTTGTGTTCAAGAACAAAAATACATTTATTAAAGTAAGTAATACACATAATCTAAACACTCGCCATATAAATAGGTTACACTTACCTTCATCTAGGATCAAAATGTTGAATTGTAGTTCAAAGTATATGGGCATAAAAGTATTTAATAAGCTACCAGCTTCTTAATTGCTTAATCGGAATGTATGATTGTCTGATTTTAAAATATATTATGTTTGTGATTGATGACGGTTGATTTTGAGGTGGGTTTATATTAAGTAATTTGGTACGTACATAGTTTTCATTTTATTAATATCTTTATATATATAGTTTTTTTTTTTTTTTTTTTTTAATAGATAGATCCGACAAATGACTCCACCCCACCTGATGTTAAGTGAAGGTGAAGTCCAGACGCGAAGATAGCTGATACAGCAGTTCTAACTGCCACACCAGCCATCCTCACCCTGCCGGCCTGCAAGTTGCTTCTTCACGCCTCTTTTAAAGGATCCCAGATTGTAAGAGGGAGGGAACACGTGAGCGGGCAGAGCATTAGAGCATTCCATTTACGGATACTACGACAAAGAAATGAGTCACCAAATTTCTTTGTACGCGTTGGAATTGTAGCCACAGTTAGACGGTGACAACGTAAGCCAGCGCGCGTGGTCCTCTGAAGGAAAGGGGAAGGTGGAATAAGAGAGAATAACTCCTCAGAACACTCGCCGTGGTACAGGCGATAGAACGCGCTTAGTGACGCCACGTCACGGCGTAATTGAAGAGGCTCGAGGTGTTTAGTCACCTCCTCATCGCCTATGATGCGGATTGCGCGCCGCTGTAACCTATCCAAAGCATCGAGCAAGTACTTAGCGGAGCCATCCCAGAGGTGCGAGCAATATTCCACGCAAGACCGCACCTGCGTCTTATACAACAAGCACAGTTGCTCGGGCTTGAAAAAACGCCGCACCTTGTTCAGGACTCCGAGTTTGCGTGAGGCTGTTTTTATCACACTTTCGATGTAATTCTTTGGATTTAAGTCACAGCGAATCTCCATTCCGAGCATGGTGATACTACTCTCTAGCTCCAGTGTTGTGCCCTGAAGAGAAGGACATAAAAGGAATGGCGACGTTTTTGCCGTGAAAGCACAGACCTGGGTTTTCTTAGCATTGAACTCAACCAAGCTCTTGGTACCCCATACAGAAATGTGGTCCAAAGCTTGATTGAGCTCAATGACAAGATTTTCCCGTTTCTCCTTGGTTACCGCCTGCCCAGCCGCTGCTTGTCCGAGATACCCCGCATGCACTGTACTATCGTCTGCATAGCAATGAATATTCCCAAGAGGAATTAAGTCATTGATATGCAGCAGAAAGAGAGTGGGGGATAGGACGGAGCTCTGGGGAACGCCGGCATTCACTGACATGAACCGCGAACTGCTACCATCCGTAAGGACACGAATTCTACGCTCATGCAGGAAGTCAGCTACCCAAGAACAGAACTGGGCCGGCAGACCGTATGCCGGAAGCTTGGAGAGAAGACTTTTGTGCCAGACCCTGTCGAATGCCTTGGCAATGTCAAGGCTAATAGCCAACGACTCGCCTCGCTTGTCGATAGCCTCACCCCAGATATGAGTCAAGTACGCTAGAAGATCACCCGTCGATCGTTTCGGTCTAAAACCATATTGACGATCATTGATCAGGGAGTGATCCTCTAGGTAGCGGGTCAGATGGTTGTTAAGGACCTTTTCTAGGACTTTACATAATACTGAGGTGACTGCTATTGGCCGGTAGTTAGCCGGGTCTGAGCGATCCCCTTTTTTGGGTACCGGTTGCACGTTAGCATCTCTCCAAGCTTCCGGCACACGCCCCAAAGAATACGAGCACTGGTACAAACGCGTGAGCACGGGAGACAACTCCGCTGCACATTTTTTCAGTACTACTGCTGGGATGCCATCGGGTCCACTAGCTTTCCGGACGTCGAGTGATTGCAATTCGGCACGAACCTCACGCTGCCTGATTTTGATATCCGGCATCGTTGTGCCACAATGAGGTAATGATGGTGGCGGTGCATTGCAATCATCGATTCGGGAGTTAGCCGCAAAGAGTTTTGCCAGTAAATCGGCTTTCTCCTGCGGCTTATGAGCTAGTGTTCCGTCTGGGCATATCAGAGGTGGCAGCGAGGGCTGGCAGAAGTTCTTTTGCACGGCTTTGGCCAAACGCCAATAGCTACGGGAGCCCGTAGGATGCGTTATAAGTTCGTGACCAACACGTGCTACGCGCTGGGCATCCGCTCTGATGTAAGCCTTCTTACAGGCCTTGGAAGCAATATTGTAGGCTGCTTTTAGTGAATCGACCCCGGGATCCTTAATAGCGCGGCCTCTGATCCAAGCACGATATGCCGCTTGCTTACGCGAAGCAGCTTCAGCACAGTCGTGATTGAACCAGAGGTTACGTGTGCCCTTACTGATGAGATTGGAATGAGGAATATAGTATTCCATACCTATTACAATCTCCTCAGTAATAGCAACGGCGCTGGCTGATAGGTCCTTGTCACTGAAGCAGCGCTGCTTCCAAGGGACGGACGCAAAGTAGTCACGCATACCGTCCCAATCTGCCGACCCATAATGCCAAATCCGGCGTTTTACCACCGTTGGACGTGGAGGCTTGGCCTGTGGCGCTTTGGCAGATATCAGGCAGTGATCTGAAGAGCTCAGGGGGGCTCCTACCACAACCTGATAGCCCTGTGGATGGGTCGTGAGCAGAAGGTCCAGTAATGAAGGCGCTTGACTTGAAATATCTGGAATCCTGGTGGGCTGATCGACCAGTTGTTTCAAGTCCTGCGTGAGAGCGAACGCGTGAGCAGAGATCCCTGCATGGTCAGTTTTCGAGGAACTTAACCACAAATTGTGGTGAGCATTAAAGTCCCCCAAAAACACCAATTCTGCATTGGGAAATTGCTCCTGCGCGTCATCTGCTGCCCGACTAAGATGTTCGAAAAGTCGAGTTGTCTCAACATCGCCAGTGTGGGATCTGTAGAGGCACACGTAGACTCTGGCCTGGGGACCAGAATCGACGTGTACCCCCAACATGGAGAAGGAGGGATCTTCCAAGCAGCGAAGACGGCGACAACAAACATCCGCCCGAACATACAGGCATACACCGGCTTTCGCTTTGAAGGACTCTTCAAGCACGTAGCCGGGATAATTAAGGTAGCCTGTGTCAGCAGGCGGAAGTATTTGTGTCTCCGTCAGGAACAACAATGCTGGCCGTGCTGTCTCAAGATGGTGGTGGACAGCATTGAGGTTAGAGTGGAGTCCGCGTATGTTGCAGAACTCGACCTCAAACAGCGTTCAAGGCGTGGGGGTGTGCACCGCTGTACGTCC